CGCTGCTTTGGCCGCCTGACGGATGCTTGGCGTCAGCAGTTCCCCGGGGCTAGTGAGATCCCTCGTTGGGATGAGCTCCTTAGGGCTGGTGTAGCGATCTTTGATCTTGATTTTGATGCTATCCTTGCTGCTATGTATGCTGTGACTTATAGTGAGGAGAATGAGGGTTACCGGTGTTTCCAGCCCGACCCGGGCATTGGTACTGCTGCTCTAGGTGCTTGTGAGGCTGCTGCTCTAGGTGCCAGTGCGTCTGCGCTCTCAGGTACTGGTGAGGCTGCGCTTTCAGGTACTGAGTCGTCCTCGTCCTCCCTCACTTTCACACTTGACTCCGGAGCTTCTCGCTCCTTCTTCCGAGACCGCACTACCCTTACGCCGCTCGGCCGGCCGGTTGCGGTCTCCCTGGCTGACCCCTCTGGGGGTCCTGTCCTGTCTCACTTCTCCACTGTCCTCCCGTGTCCGGCTGCCCCTTCGGGTGCTCTGTCTGGTCTGTACCTTCCCTCGTTCTCGACGAACTTGGTGAGTGGTGCAGCCCTACAGGATGCGGGGGTTCACCAGTTCACTCCTGCGAGTCAGCGGGTGACCCACTGCACGGACGCACGTACAGGCCGACACCTGGCCACCTTCTCGCGTCGGCCGGGGTCGAGTCTCTACACCCTGACCACTTCGTCTCCTCCTGTCCCTGCGTCCGGTCAGGTAGCTGCGTCAGGTCAGGAGCTTGCTGCTGCGTCCCGGTCAGGTCCTGAGTCTGCCCCCTGTTCTTGTCGTCTCCTTTCTCACGAGACTCTCCTGTGGCACCACCGTCTTGGCCACCCGTCCTTGCCCCGTCTTCGGAGCATGGCTTCCCGTGTCCTTGTCTCTGGTCTTCCCCGGTCTCTCCCTCCTCTCCCCTCCGGGCCAGGACCTTCCTGTGTCCCCTGTGTCGAGGGTCGCCTCCGGGCTACTCCTCACTCCTCCCACTTCCCCCCGACAGAGGCTCCCCTGCAGACGCTTCACATGGATGTGTGGGGCCCAGCCCCAGTCCGTGGGCAGGGTCACGAGCGCTACTTCCTGTTGGTGGTTGACGACTACTCGCGTTACACCACAGTCCTCCCCTTGCGCAGCAAGGGTGCGGTCACTGAGGTGCTGATCGACTGGATCCGCGAGGCTCGTCTCCAGCTCAGGCAGAGCTTCGGCTCGGACTTTCCTGTTCTGCGTCTGCACTCGGACAGAGGCGGAGAGTTCTCCTCTCGCCTTCTGCGAGACTACTGTCGTGCACGGGGGATCCGCCAGACTTTCACGCTTCCGGACTCACCACAGCAAAATGGGATTGCTGAGCGCCGCATTGGCATGGTCATGGATGTCGCTCGTACGTCCATGATGCATGCGGCTGCCCCCCATTTTCTGTGGCCGTTCGCGGTGAGGTACGCGGCGCATCAGCTCAACCTTCACCCCCGGGTCTCTAGGCCTGCGATGTCCCCAGCCCTGCTGTGGACAGGGAAGGTTGGCGATGCGTCTGCGTTCCGTGTCTGGGGATCTCGGGCGTTTGTCCGCGACTTGTCTGCGGACAAGCTGTCCCCTCGTGCTGCTCCCTGTGTCTTCCTTGGCTTCCCCACTGACGCCCCAGGGTGGCAGTTTTACCACCCCTCCTCTCGTCGTGTTCTGTCCTCCCAGGACGTCACGTTCGACGAGTCAGTCCCCTTCTACCGTCTCTTCCCCTACCGTACTCCCTCCCCCCCCCCTCCCCCGGACTTCCTGGTACCGCTTCCCCCCCCGGTAGACCCCCTCCCCCCTCAGGTTCCTGCCCCCTCAGGTGTGTCCCAGGTAGACGCCGTTGACCCTGTCGAGGTTACTGGTGACTCTGGTGCTGCTGCGGGTGCTGAGCCTGGGGGTGCTGACTCTGGGGGTGCTGTGCGCGAGGGAGCTGAGCCTGAGGGTGCTGGGCCTGGGGGTGCTACGGCGGAGAGTGCGGAGCCTGGGGGTGCTGAGCCGGGGGGTGCTGTGCCTGGAGGTGCTGGGTCTGGGGGTGCTGAGCTGGGAGCTGCTGGGCCTGGGGGTGCTGCGTCTGGAGCTGCTGAGCCTGGGGGTGCTGCGTCTGGAGCTACTGAGCCTGGGGTTTCTCCTGCTGCGCCTCGCCGGGAGCCCCTCTCTCCACTGGAGCTGCGCGAGTGGTTCGCTCGCCGCTGGAGGCGTACTGCTGAGTCTGGGGGTGCTGCTGGAGCTGGAGTTGGTGCTTCTTCGCCCGTCGAGGGTGCTGGTGCTGCCGGTCCCGGAGCTGCTGGGCCTGCGGGTCCTCCTGGAGCTGGAGCTGCTGAGGGTGTTGGTGCTGAGACTACTGCTGTTGGTCCTGCCGCAGGAGGAGTGGGTGGTGCTGGTGCTGTCGCTGAGGGTGCTGGTGCTGTCCCTGCTGCATCTGGAGCTGCTGCGCGGCCTCGGCCGTACTTCGTTCCGCTCCTGCAGCAGGTTCTTGGTCTTTCTCCTCCAGTAGAGGGTCCACCGCCTGTCCAGTCGCAGTCCCTGCTGGAGCCTTCCTCTCCACTGCCTGCTCCCTCTCCTTACACTGGTCCTACTGGAGGTCTTGCTGAGCGTCGTGAGCCTGCGTCTCGTCCCGCGTCACCTGTTCGTGCTGCTCGCGCTAGTGGTCGCAGTTCGCGTCAGCGTCCTCCTCCTGTCCCTGGCACGCACCGGATGTCTTTGCGTCCGTCCACTGCTCCCCTGCGTGCCCCTTTGCCTTCTCCTCCTCAGTCCTCTCTTCCTGCGCTTGCCGACCCTGAGTCGGACTCTCTTCGTGCTGCCAGTCCTAGTGTCACGCGTCTCCTTGCTACTGTCGTCACTGACCCCTCTTTTGAGTCCACTGCTGCGTCTGCTCTTGTCGCTGAGCTCGTCGACTTTGCTGCTCGCTGTCGTCTAGACTACGCTGCTAGTCTTGTTGCTGAGTCTGCGTCTGTCTGTCCTCCGTCCGTCGGGGGTGAGTGTGCTCTTGGCACGGACGTCCTCGAGGACAGGCAGGAGGAGTTACAGTGTCTAGCGGCTGCTTCACCTCATCTCGCGTCTGTACTGCTTGCCCCTGAGGGAGCCCCGGATGCACTAGACATCCCGACTCCGCGTTCTTACGCGGAGGCCGTAGAGGGTCCCTACTCCTCTCAGTGGCAGGCAGCTATGGATGCAGAGATGGCTTCCTGGAAGTCCACAGGCACCTACGTTGACGAGGTTCCCCCTCCTGGGGCGAACATCGTCAGTGGCATGTGGATCTTCCGGGTGAAGCGGCCGCCGGGCTCTCCACCTGTCTTCAAGGCGCAGTACGTTGCTCGTGGCTTCAGTCAGCGGCAGGGAGTTGACTACTTTCAGACCTTCTCTCCCACCCCGAAGATGACTACTCTTCGGGTGCTGCTGCACATAGCCGCTCAGCGCGACTACGAGCTTCACTCTCTCGACTTCAGCACTCCGTTCCTGCGGGGTAGCCTGCACGAGGAGATCTGGCTGCGCCGTCCGCCTGGCTTCACTGGGACTTTCCCTCCTGGCACCCAGTGGAGCCTCCGACGGCCAGTCTACGGTCTCCGCCAGGCACCGCGTGAGTGGCACGACACACTGAGGACTACGCTTGCGGCTCTTGGGTTTGCTCCTTCTACTGCTGACCCGTCGCTGTTTCTGCGCACCGACACCTCTCTGCCGCCGTTCTACATCCTCGTGTACGTCGACGACTTGGTCTTTGCCACAGCGGACACTGCTGGACTCGCCTACGTGAAGTCCGAGCTGCTGAAGAGACACACGTGCACAGACCTGGGTAAACTGCGCAGCTACCTTGGCTTGCAGATCACTCGGGACAGAGCACGCCGCACCATTACCTTGACTCAGTCACACATGGTGCAGCAGGTCCTTCAGCGCTTCGGCTTCACGTACTCCTCGCCTCAGGCCACTCCTCTGCCTACTTGCCACTCACTCTCAGCTCTGCCTTCGGATGAGTCCGTAGAGTCGAGTGGTCCGTATGCAGAGCTTGTTGGCTGCCTCATGTACCTGATGACCTGCACACGACCTGACCTTGCATACCCTCTGAGCATTCTTGCACGCTATGTTGCTCCTGGTAGACACCGACCAGAGCACATGGCTGCAGCGAAGAGGGTATTGCGCTACCTGTGCAGTACGTCGGGCATGGGGCTAGTGCTTGGAGGGCGGAGTCCAGTGGTCCTTACAGGCCACGCGGACGCTTCTTGGGCTGACGACCAGGCTACACAGCGGTCGTCACAGGGTTACACCTTCAGCCTTGGTTCCGGCTCTGTCTCGTGGCGGTCTACTCGCTCGTCTTCGGTTCTCGGCTCCAGTTGTGAGGCTGAGATCTACGCCGGGGCCATGGCTGCACAGGAGCTTCGCTGGCTCACCTACCTACTGACTGACCTTGGAGAGCCGCCTCGTTCTCCTCCAGTGCTGTACGTAGACAACAAGGCCATGCTGGCCTTGTGTCGAGAGCAGCGCTTGGAGCACAGAACGAAGCACATTGCTCTCCGCTACTTCCTTGCTCGTGAGCTGCAGCAGCGTGGTCAGTTGCGACTTGCGTACGTGGCCTCTGAGGCCAACACTGCTGATGTGTTCACCAAGGCACCTGCGCCTTGTGACCATCAGCGCTTTTGTACCCAGCTGGGTCTTGTGCCTGTCTTGCCTCACTTGCTCTCTTCTTGACTTTACTTGTACTGTGACATATATATACCTGCTCTTGCTTGTCTTGCTTTATATATATGTCTGTACTTTTGCATGTGAACTGGCCTTTGGCCTTGCTCTTGTGCTCGGACTGTGTGGTGACTTTGTGATCCACCCCGAGCTTGCTTTGCTTTGCTTGACTGGTCTTGTGACCCCTTGTTCTCCCCCACTTTGCCTATGGGGGTGTGTCAGAACATATAGCTTACTTGTTTGTGTAGGCTATAGTGGGGTATCCCATAGGGGGTACAATCCAATTAGGGTTTCCTATTTGTACCCACTTTGTTCATAGTCATCCCCATTCCTGTTCATTCAGTTTCTCATTCGCCAGCAACATGGCCATGACATTTCGGGTATCCTTGCGGCTGCTGGTAGTCGTGGCACTCCACTGCTAGGTGCTGATGAGTTAGAGGCATTGGCGAGTATTGACAGTTCTGTCCGCAGGCACGAAGAATGTGGAAAGGGTTCCATCTCTGGGTTAAATAGGGGTGACACACAGGCAGCCGCGAGTAACATACCTCGAGCTCCCCCAATCGCTACGAAAGAGAACCCTCATGCTTTCAATAATGACCATCATGATCCATCACCACAGCCTACCTCACAGCCCGCAACCCCATCCCAGGCTGTCGGCCACGCTACGGCTGTTGCACATCGCGGGCCATTGAACGGAGGGCTTTACACCAACAGACTCAAGAAGGAGCGTGACCACATCAACAACACCAACAGTGGTGCACCCGGCCCTGTTCCTGCGGCACAACCTACACGGGTAGGAGTGCATGACCAGCGGAATGACACGTACCGGCCAAGAGGAGCAGCGTACCGCGGGCATGGCGCAGGGGCTGCCGAGGGCTTCCAAGCTCGTGGTGTGAATCGGGAAAGGAACGTCCCGCAGATGACACTCATCATTGACTATGATCCGGAGAGGAGCGGGGAGGGCTTGATACGTGGCATGCCGTCTCCAGATGAGATCGTGGTCAGTATGCGCACGGAGTACATAAGTAAGTCTGAACCTACAAGTACGAATGGCACTAATCCTGGTTTCAGTAGTTCTTTTTTTTGAGCCGGTAGCACCACCATGCCATGGCCGCAATGTTTGCCTAATCTGAAAGCCGATTTCCCAACGAACATCAGATGACTTACCTAATGCTGTTTGGATCTGTTGACCATGACCTCGTCCCGTCACCAGGTGCACGCAAAGATGGCAATGGATCTCCTGCTACGCAACGGTGCGGCGCGAGGTGTGACCCTGTTCCCTTCGAACACAGTGAGGAACGAGGCGCTACGTATCATCCTTCGTGCCACGCATGACGTGAGCTACGTCCAGGTCTGTTACGCCATGTCCAAGACGGAGTACAGTACGAAGGTCAACAAAGTGTGGACGAAGTTCAGGAACGACTCGTCCTCATTGGCACGCTACACGATTGTCTGCGGGCTGGGGATAGACGTCGTGGGAACGGGGCTGTACAAGTACGAGCTCGACACAGCCAGGAGGGCAGAGTGGTAGGAGACCCTCGGCCCACATACGTATTGGTCCATTGCCATTATCATTCACTACACATTAACTTGCCTCAACCCCATTTCAGTCCCTAAGTAACTCTGATCCCATGTATCCCCTTTACTGGGTGGCAGAGGAGCACCTTGGGCACAAGGTCTCTTCGTGGAGCCATGAGAAGGGCGACAAGAGGCCCTTCACCAGCGCCTTGTTCTTTGCAGCATACCCTGAGTGGGTCACTGCTGACGGGATCCTTGTCCTCGTCCCCTATCACATAGCGTGGGTCCTGTTTTCTGTGAGTGCTCCGCACCCGTAGCCATGTTGGTGTCAGTAAGAAACTTTATGTTGGCAAGCTCCTTCATACCCTATTCCATCTAAACCCACGGTTTGTTGTTTGTGACAGTTCGACTATGGCATGACCAACATGAGGGACAAGTCAATGACTCTCTCACAAAGCCCCCTGACCAACGAGCGCGAGATGGTGGAGGTGCTGGCAGAGGTCGAAGCAGCCATCAAGATGTGGCTGGCCGTGGCGAAGGAGCGCCTGTACGTCCCTGAGATGGGGGCTTTCAAGTGGGGTGAATCTGGGCTGTTTATCAATGAGAGTGGGTTCAATGAGTATCTGCCGGAGGAGTATCAGGTGCGACCTGCGTCGCACGTGGGAGACAAGTGTCCGTTGATGGAGTGATTCAAGACGGGTGGTCATGCGATCAAGGGACAGTGGCGGGGATCTGTGATGGAGCAATCCGGGGTTTTAATTTTGTTGTTTTCTTTTTCTTTTTTAATCTAATCCGGTTGCTAGCTCAAAAGACCTATATGACTGATTGAGTAGAATCTTTTGTTTGGGCGGCGTAGGTTGGTGTGGTTGGTATATGTGTAGGAATGTTTTACATAACATTAATATAACTCATTCTATGCTTTCACGAGTATATCACAGTAGAGTACAAATCTGCTAGTAGGAGTTGTACACATTCTATGCCATTGCTGTTTTCATAGGGTCCCAGAAGTGTCCCGAATGTGTCGGTGGGGAGTCCTCCATGCTACTTGCGCAGAGACTCAAATGTGTCCGGAACGTGTATCGTAAGACAGTTTCGAGACAGTTGGGCGTGACCCTTTCGGGACATTTCACTTAGTCTCGAAAATGTCTTACGAGACACTTTTCAGCCTGTCCCGAAAGTATTCGGAAAGAATTTTTGTAGACAGTGTCGGGACATTACAATTTGGCGATGTTGGGTACGGCGGTTAGGGCTTGGAATGGGGACAGAGTCAGGGAAAGGGCAGGAGACATGCGCCGACACGCAGGGCAAGGAGGCGCGCACGGCGGGCAAGGCGGCAATCTCGGGTCGCAGGTGACAGCACGATGAATAGATGCGCGTGGCGGAGCAGCGCGTGGCGGAGCTGGGAAGGGTACGCAGCGCGGGTCTCGATTGCATCCAATGCGAGTCGCAGCGACAAGCGCGTCAGCGGAACGGCTCTATGCGAGGGTGAACGGATTGAACTGTGCTTCGATGCGACGAGAGAAAATCAAAATCCTTTAAGTCTTCCCGTGCGTGCGCTCTAAATCTCCCTCCCCGTACCGCGCCATTCCCCAACCTCTCTCCCATCTTCCCTGCCGTCGAGCGATCTTAGCATTTCGCAATATCTCTCGCAACCACATCAGCTTGGTTGAGCACGTTGCGGTTTGCGAACCGCGACATGTCTCGCAGCTCCCCCTGCCATTGCCAGGACCTAGCTGGTTGTGGTTGCGATTGTGGATTTGTTCCAATTCGCAACTGTTCAGCAAAATCCACGAAAAGGTTTAGTCACGACAACCAGACTGTGCACGCCGACACGCAATATCGGATCGGGTGTAATCGACTCGCAACCACGCAATTTCAGATTTTGTATGGAGAGAAGCTACAGTGGTCAACTCATCCAGCCACATCAGCGAAACATTGCTGCCCGGCCAAAGTGGCGCCACATTGACATCGAAGTTGGTGTCCAGGTGGGAATGACCAGGTGCAGCGCCAATCAGTAGCCTCCTCCGAATCTCGCTACAAACAGCGAGTTCGTTTGCTTGGTTGGCTCCACCCCACCCCCGATGGCTTGTTTGATAGGGTTACCGCGCTTTGCTCGCAACAAATAGGATCATTCAAAATTGAGGTTCGTATGGAATCATCCAACCAACTGCTTGCCTGCATGACAGGGGGGGGGGGGGGGGCGCTCAGGAGGTTTTCGTTCAAGCCACTCTTCAAGCAAGACCAACTAACTCACCCTGAGCGAGCAGCTGAAAGTTTCCTTTCCCGTAAAACTTGACAGCCACGACACTAACAGCAGGAAGCTTAAGAGGCTCAGTCTGATCTCATCTTTATTACTCTCTCTCATCAAGTTCCTCTCCAGGGACATCCCTTCCCAAGCTTAGTCGTGGTTGTCAATCAGACGTAGCACAAGCCAGAGCTTTACCTCGACCCTCTTAGGAGAATGTCTCCAAATATCCATTGCCTTCCTGACCATGTTATTGTCAGGATCTTCTGGCATTCCGACGCTTTCCGACCGACCTCGTCATTGTCTCTCTCAGATTATGCTATCAGGAAGGAGAACAAAGATTCAGAGCCTGACACGAATTTTTCAACACCTCCTGCCTCTGCCGATGTTGCTCACGTTCTCCTCATTGCCTCAGTCTGCCGTCGCTGGCGGGAGCTTGCACACGAATCCGTCACAACGCTTCTCGTTTCACGAAATCGTCTGGTTTCTCACGAGTATCTCAAACGCGTCCTCGTGTCCTTCCCGAATCTCACTTGCCTGCACTTGAGCAACGGAAGCATGAAAACGATAGACGACATCGCGGAAAAGGCAAGCGCAAAAAGCAACTAAAAAGCAAAGGAAACGCAACTGTAGGGTTACTTCAAAAACGCAAGAACAAAGTCAAGGTTCAAAATTGTGGGTGCTAGAGTGACTTGATGGGCTACGTTTTTGCCACTTTACTAGCACAAACTGCATACATTGACGCAACTAATCCGGTATGCGGTAAATCAACCTCGAAGTTGCGGAAAGTCACTTCCGAGCAACCACTGTAAGAATTTCACGAGTACGCCACGTGGCATATTACGTACTCGAGATGAAACTGCGACATGCTGACGTGGCTGTCTATGTACGCTAATGACCATCGTCAGATCAGATTTAGATCGACGGTCGTGAACTTGCCATGTGAACCAACCATACGTCATTTTTAAGCGTGCGATATCGAAAAAAACAATTGCTGGCGATTGGAACAGAGACATTTTCGATTCAAGCTTCTCTTTTATGGGTATGCGTTTTCAAGCACAAATTAGAATTTCAGTATACAAGGTTTTTCTTACAAGGCATGGAAACTACAACCACACTAGAATTACTACGAATAATGCACATTTGTGGAGATGTGTGAGCTGTGCTAATAAGAAGATGGATATAACCTGCAAAAACAGAGAGACAAAAACAATAGTAAAAGCATATCAAGTCTGCCATTCCACCACTCACCATTGGGGTTAATGATGATGGAATGTGCTCAACAGTGAAAAATTGGCATCTTGCGATTATGGCTGACGATAGGACTGGGTTAACATGTTGGCCCTGCAAAACATGCAAACACAACTTGTTGTAACGCATCCTGCTGACATTGTGTCATATGGGGGCAAATGGCTTGAAAACCGCATACCTGATGTTGTTGTGATAACTCGCAACAGATGGATCTTGAGAAAGCCTGCACGAGTAGGTATGAAAATATGTTAGAAAAGTCAGTCGCAAAGCCAGTCGCAGCTGCTTTTGCAACGATTGTTGCTACGCACCAAACAAGACGTCGGGCTGTAGTGTGTTATGGGATGTTGGGGGTTGGGGGGAGAAGGAGAGGAAGGGGATGGGACGAAATCATAAATGAATATTAGAATTAGATCCGACGCATGTTAACGCAACGTTTAGCTATGACGCAGGGCGTGACTAGACACGCCGGCCAACACATCGTGTAGAAAAAAATGCATACCACACCAGTGACACGAATATCATCACGTGGATAAAAATGTATACCACACGAGCAAAACGAATACCACCGCAGTGAAAAAAAATGGTATACCACACAAGCGAAACGAATACCAGCGCGCAGAAAAAAATGCATACATCGCCAGCGACACGAATACCATCGAATAGAAAAACGTATTTTTCACCAGCGAAACGAAAACCTTTGCGCAGAAACAAATGCATATGGCACCTGCGAAACAAATACTATTGCTTAGGAAAAATGCATGCCTTACCAGGGAAACGAATACTATCTCCTATAGATTAAGGTAAACTCACCAGCAGAACGAATACGGTTCTCATCAGGATAGTTGCTGAGCATGCGCCTTCACGTCGCTAAGTGCACGATTGTCCTCCACCATAGGTATGATATCCGTTGATCTGCAAACGGGAATGGGAGGTTGCGAGGGTAGGGAAGAAGTCCAGGCAGAGGCTATGACGTATGATACAGACGAATATGGGTATGATCGAAGAAATTGATACAAACATGGCCTCTGTATTGAAATGAATACAAACTTGAGTGATGGTGCCCCAGGAGATCGTGAGCGATAGGAGTCTAAGCACTAGGTGAACATTGAACACAAAGTTGTGAACAGAAAATATGTAAACTGAAGGTTGATGAAGGTATTTGCAAGGGCGGAGTAGAAGTGTGAGGAGGATGAGGAAAAAGTTCGCTTGGGTTGGAGGTATATTGTGCTGACGTGTAGACCAGATAGTGGTGATTCCCTGATTTGACACAGCAGCAACAATGATTGGCTGAATGGGATTTTTTTGCGATCATTCGTCACCCTTTAGGTCCAACCAGGTGTGCGTATGTGGTTTAGGTTTGGTTGTTGGTATGCAGTTTTGAAGAACGCGAATGTGTTGTGACCACGTGTACAATCCAATTGTGTGGAAAATGAAACTCATATTCATGAAATCGTTGTTTCCACCCTCACATTCTCGTTAGGTTTCGTGAAAACAAACAAAAGATGTAACCGCTTTCAATCCATCTTGACCGCTCGAAACCAAATCTGAGATCCTAACGTTACTTTCGAGTGAACTTTTGGCTCTGGTATTCGCTTTCGCAAAAGAAGTATTCAGAGTTGCTTTTTGGGGTCGTCGTTTTCTGGATACTTGGCGCAACAAAACCGCACTCTTTTTGCAGAAAACCTTCGGACCCCCAAAATCGCAATTTCCCTTTTCCGCGATGGACAATTTCCTAGCATTTCTCGGCTCCTCGTCACTAAACCTAACGGCTCTTCATGTCGGCACAGGAATTGCTCCATACGACAGCCCTTACCGAAAACAGGAGGAGATGGACGAGTTTGGCGAATCAGGTCACCCTGTCACGACAACTGGGCTGGGCATTCTCTTCCGCCATTGTCGCCGCTTGGAGCAGCTGTCACTCCAGTGCCTCTATTGGACCACAAAGCTTCCGCCTTCGTTCTTCCAATTAACGCGCCTGCACACGTTGTCACTGAGAGATGTCTCGCCTTTGGTGGATCCGAACTTCGTGAATCTCTCTTCTCTCACGAGGTTGTCTATTCAAAAGCTGAACATGCGGGTGCATCAGATGTCGCCGTTAACTCGCCTTCCGAATCTGACCAGCCTGTTCTTCCCAGGAGAGATATACTCCGACAGTTTCAAGGGGGATTTCTCAATTGGTGAACTGACAAATCTTCGTTTGCTGGGATTCGTGCGGGGAACAACAGACTTCCCTGCAATGTTTCGCCAGAATCACCGTGTTTCCGTCTTCAACGTCTGCTGCTAAGCTATATTCCGAGCATCCCGCCTGATGGGCTTGGAGAACGGTTCCCAGTACTTCGCGAACTCTGCCTTTTCGGTAGCCTTTATTCTGCTGAGTTCCTGGTACCAGATTCCATCACAAGCCTTAGCACTTTGGAAGTTCTAACCATTCTCAACCATTCTCAACTTCAAAATCTTGGAGAATTTTGGAGATTTTCCAGGGCTGAAGTCATTAGCGTTGAACAGATTGTCGTTGAATAGACTCCCCGATTCTACTAGGCTGCTCACAGGGCTTCAGAAACTATCCTTGGATCATGTGGACATAGACACCCTCCCCATAACGATTTCCTGCTTGACTGCTCTTGAATCGTTGAGCATACGGGATCAAGGCTGACGACACTTCCGGAGGAGATAGGGTTTAGGGTGCTGAGCGGTTGTGAAGAACTACAGCAGCTGACGGCGTCGTTCAGTCGCCTCTCTTCTCTAACGCGGCTCGAAATCAGCAGCTGTCCCGTTGTTAACCTTCCAGAGGGTACAGACCATCTTGGTGACCTGCGGGAGTTGACCTTGAGCTGCTGCGATGAGCTGACAGCTCTGCCAGCATCCATCACTCAACTGAGCCGCCTGAAGACTTTCAAGGCCTGCATGTGTATCAAGCTTGCGTCTACACCTCGAGCCTTGGAAAACCTCTCATGCCTGCGGGAGCTGGATCTGACGGGATGTGAACTTTTGCAGGAAACTTTGGAATCTTTGCCGCAGTCTCTGGAAACATTGAGCTTGGGAAACGACACCAGCAGCATCATTCTTCCAGATTTGTCAACGACTCCAAATCTAAAGAAGCTGAAAATGATTCGGGTTACCATCATGGACGCACCAGCGACCAGCCGTTGTCCCTCTCAGATAGAGCACCAGGAGATGCGCCTGGGCGTTGAACAGACAGAGCTTCCACTCTCGCACAGTTTCCTTTCATGCCTCCGTAATCTACGCATCCCGAATGCCACAGCATTGCATCACTGCCTCATAACATCGGCTCTGCTCTGCCTCAGCTGCGACAGCTGCACGTGGAAGGTGCGGAATCTCTGACGGAGATTCCAGAAAGTGTAACCCGGCTAGTGTAACTCACCTCCCTTCATATTGAAGCTCCAAGCCTGACCCATCTTCCGGAGACCATTTCCGCCTTGTCAAGGTTAGGCGACCTTAGCCTGCTTAATTGCTCCTCCTTGACAAGCCTGCCCGATTCTTTCACCAGCCTCACTTACCTGCACAAATTGGATGCCAGGAAGGGGTTTTTTTATCAGAGTAAATTACTCTGTTTCTCTGAAAATCAGAGTGGTTTTTAGGGGGTCACTCTGACGTGTCTGGGTAATTTTTTTGGAGGATAAGTTTTCTCTGATTTGTCAGGGTTCTGATTTTAGCTTCTCTGAGGGACCAGTGTATATTTGTGGCGGATGTACTTTTCTCTGTACAGGGTATAGGCATTTCGACCTACCGGTACCCCCCCCCCCCGAACCCCCCTCCCCCCCAATTGCTGGGCAGATTCAGATGATTTATAAATATCCGTAATTCCCATATACATGGTGAGCACGTAGCACAACGGTTAGCCTTTTTGGTAGGAGTGCAGAAGGTCTGGGTTCAATACTTGAGAGGACACTCAGAGTTGGAAAAATAGGTTCACTGGGTGCCCAGAGTATATTTTTCAGAAGTTAAGTTTTCTCTGACAAATCAGAGTAACGCTCGTAATGAACCCTGAATTTCAGAGTTCTCTAGAAAACAGCTCTGGAAATCCGAGTAGTGAAAATCCAAAAAAAAGCCCTGGAAGACGGCTCTTCACTTTCTCCCTCCCAACTTCCACCATTTGGCACGAGTCAGAGAGCTGGATCTGAGTGGCTGTGAGCACCTTCAGTCCCTGCCGCAACAGCTGTGTGACTTGACGATGCCGCTAGTGCTGAATTTCTTTGGCTGCAGAATGCTTGGTCCTTACAACCTTCAAGAGAGGCTTGGACTCCAGTCGTACCAAGACTATTGGTAGATCCAGCAGCTATTTTGCATACATTAAGATACAGTTATGCAATAGTGCGTACGTGTAGGACATGTACGGGGGGATCCACAACTCATGACTAGCTCTCGGCCTCGTTATAAGGTGCCTCGTGACGCTAGTAGCTCTCCTCTGATTCAATGCAGCAGTGGTACATGATTGGCAGCAGTGGTGCATGATTGGCAGCAGTGGTGCATGATTGGCAGCAGTGGTGCATGATTGGCAGCAGTGGTGCATGATTGGCAGCAGTGGTGCATGACTGGCAGCAGTGGTGCATGATTGGCAGCAGTGGTGCATGATTGGCAGCAGTGGTGCATGATTGGCAGCAGTGGTGCATGATTGGTAGCAGTGGTGCATGACTAGCAATAGTGGTGCATGATTAGCAGCAGTGGTGCATGAGGAGAATCGGTGATCAGACGCAGTAGAGCCGAAGGAACAGGTGGCACGAACAATGTCTGCAAATAAAGGGACAGTGATGGACAGGGACAGGGGTGGACAGGGACACAACACAAGGTATTTAGTTGTGGTTGTTTCATCTCACCATGCTCGTTTCATCTCACTGTGACGCATTCATCTCACCGCGCTAGTTTCTTCTCACCATGCTCGTTTCATCTCACAATGCTCGTTTCATCTCACCATGCTCGATTCAGCTCACCATGCTCGTTTCATCTCACCATGCTCGTTTCATCTCACCATGCTCGTTTCATCTCACCATGCTCGTTTTATCTCACCGTAGTCATCTCATCATCCAGTGGCCCCCATGGTACGACACCGTGAACAGATCCTCGCCACCATGCCCTGCACGCACATGCATGAGAGATGAGCCATGAGAGACAGATACGGTAATCATTGTGTGGGATGGAGCACATCTATGTGATCATTGTGAACACATCCTTCGCCACCACGCCCTGCACGCCATGCACGCCCAATCCTCCCCTCCGCCCTCCCCAGTCCCCCCACCCTTCCCCCCTCACTCATAGTGCAGGGCCGCTAGTTCCATGTGAGTCCCATGGCGAGCTGTGTGCCGGAATCCTGCAGGTGGGGAGAATGGGAAAGGGGGAAGGGGAACAGATTGAGGTGCAAGACGGTGGGATTCGGTGCAGGGAGGTGAGTCGCATGTGAGGCCCATGGCTAGCTGTGTGCCGGAATCCTGCAGGTGTGCCCATATAGGGTTTAGGGGGAAGAGGAGGGAGGAACAATCGAGAGGGGAAAGGGCACGAAGGGAAGGGGCAGGGGGAAGTGGGAGAAGACAGGAAAAAGGGAAATGGGGAGGAAAAAGGGAAATGGGGAGGAAAAATGGAAATGTGGAGGAAAAAGGGAAATGGGGAGGAAAAAGGGAAATGGGGAGGAAAAAGGGAAATGGGGAGGAAAAAGGGAAATGGGGAGGAAAAAGGGAAATGGGGAGGAAAAAGGACAATGGGGAGGAAAAAGGGCAATGGGGAGGAAAAAGGGCAATGGCGAGGAAAAAGGGCAATGGGGAGGAAAAGGGGCAATGGGGAGGAAAAAGGGCAATGCGGAGGAAAAAGAGCACGGAGAAAGGGGAAGGGAGACGAGGGAGGAGGAAAGGTGGAAAGGGGGAGGAGGGATGGGGAGGGCAAAAAGGAAGGGGGAACGTGGAAGGCGGAAAGCGGAAGGCGGTAGGGGGAAGAGGGAACGGGAAAAAGGGGAGAGAAGGGGGAAAGGGGAAAGGGAGTGAGGTGGTGAGGGAAATGGCAAAGGGGAAAGGGAAAAGGGGGGATGAATGTGATTGCTTGCTGATAAATGCGTGGGAGTCTCTTACTAGCAGGGGGCCATTGGATTCAGGCTTCTTTTATAGAGTGACAGTGTGGGTGGAAACTCAAATGGCCAAGCCAAGCAAGCAGAAATGAATCTCCAGCGCAGCAAGCCAAGCAACCAATCCAATCCACTCCACTCCACGCCACTCCACTCCACTCCAACCCACTCTTGGGGTGCCATGCAGTGGTACAAAGTGTGTGTTACAACTGGTTGTGAGAAAGTAAGCCAAGGAAGCCAAGCAACCAATCCAATCCAATCCAATCCAATCCACTCCACTCGACTCTTGGGGTGCAAGGTGACTTTTGAGTCGACTCGAAAGTCACCATGCAGTGTACACAGAGGTTGTGAGAAAGTAAGCGTGTGGACCACTGCTAGCAGCAGCCTGCCCGCGCACTCACAGCGTATGGAGCTGGGCGACGTCGCTGCTGTCAGGTGGGCCATGCTTCAGCAGCACCCTCGAAACAGTCACAGCAGCCTCGATACAGTCACAGAAGCCTCGATACAGTCACAGCACTCTCGGTACAGTCACAGAAGCCTCGATACAATCACAGCAGCCACGATACAGTCACAGCAGCCTCGATACAGTCACAGAAGCCTCGATACAGTCACAGCAGCCCCGAGTCACAGAAGCCTCGATACAGTCACAGCAGCATCGATACAGCCACAGCACCCTCAATACAGTCGCAGCAGCCTCGATACAGTCAGAGCAGCCTCGATACAGTCAGAGCAGCCTCGATACAGTCACAGCAGCATGAACCGCTGCTAGCAGCAGCCCTGCCCGCGCCACAGCCAGTCGTGCCACTCCTGCCACTCCTGCCATTCGGGGCACACGGTGATGGGAAGGGAAGAAGCGGGAGAAAGGGACGGATGAGCAGCCGGGGAGCCGAAGCTTAGAGGACACAGGTGGCAAGAGCACAGGTGGTAAGAACACAGGTGGTAAGAGCATAGGTGGTAAGAGCACAGGTGGTAAGAGCACAGGTGGTAAGAGCACAGGTGGTAAGAGCACAGGTGGCAAGAGCACAGGTGGCAAGAGCACAGGTGGTAAGAGCACAGGTGGTAAGAGCACAGGTGGTAAGAGCACAGGTGGTAAGAGCACAGGTGGCAAGAGCACAGGTGGCAAGAGCACAGGTGGTAAGAGCACAGGTGGTAAGAGCACAGGTGGTAAGAGCACAGGTGGTAAGAGCACAGGTGGCAAGAGCACAGGTGGCAAGAGCACAGGTGGTAAGAGCACAGGTGGTAAGAGCACAGGTGGTAAGAGCACAAGTGGTAAGAGCACAGGTGGTAAGAGCACAGGTGGCAAAAGCACAGGTGGTAAGAGCACAGGTGGTAAGAGCACAAGTGGTAAGAGCACAGGTGCTAAGAGCATAGGTGGTTAGAGCACAGGTGGTAAGAGCACAGGTGGTAAGAGCACAGGTGGTAAGAGCACACGTGGTAAGAGCACACGTGGTAAGAGCACAGGTGGTAAGAGCACAGGTGGTTAGAGCACAGGTGGTAAGAGCACAAGTGGTAAGAGCACAGGTGGTAAGAGCACAGGTGGTAAGAGCACAGGTGGTAAGAGCACAGGTGGTAAGAGCACAGGTGGTAAGAGCACAGGTGGTAAGAGCACAGGTGGTAAGAGCACAGGTGGTAAGAGCACAGGTGGTAAGAGCACAGGTGGTTAGAGCACAGGTGGTAAGGGCACAGGTGGTAAGAGCACAGGTGGTAAGAGCACAGGTGGTAAGAGCACAAGTGGTAAGAGCACAGGTGGTAAGAGCACAGGTGGTAAGAGCACAGGTGGTAAGAGCACAGGTGGCAAGAGCACAGGTGGTAAGAGCACAGGTGGTAAGAGCACAGGTGGCAAGAGCACAGGTGGTAAGAGCTCAGGTGGCAAGAGCACATGTGGCAAGAGCATAGGTGGCAAGAGCACAGGTGGCAAGAGCTCAGGTGGAAAGAGCACAGGTGGCAAGAGCACAGGTGGCAAGAGCACAGGTGGCAAGAGCACTGGTGGTAAGAGCACAAGTGGTAAGAGCACAGGTGGTAAGAGCACAGGTGGTAAGAGCACAGGTGGCAAGAGCACAGGTGGTAAGAGCACAGGTGGTAAGAGCACAGGTGGCAAGAGCACAGGTGGTAAGAGCACAGGTGGTAAGAGCACAGGTAGCAAGAGCACAGGTGGTAAGAGCACAGGTGGTAAGAGCACAGGTGGCAAGAGCACAGGTGGTAAGAGCACAGGTGGTAAGAGCACAGGTGGCAAGAGCACAAGTGGTAAGAGCTCAGGTGGCAAGAGCACATGTGGCAAGAGCATAGGTGGCAAGAGCACAGGTGGCAAGAGCTCAGGTGGAAAGAGCACAGGTGGCAAGAGCACAGGTGGCAAGAGCACAGGTGGCAAGAGCACTGGTGGTAAGAGCACAAGTGGTAAGAGCACAGGTGGTAAGAGCACAGGTGGTAAGAGCACAGGTGGTAAGAGCACAGGTGGTAAGAGCACAGGTGGTAAGAGCACATATGGTAAGAGCACAGGTTGCAAGAGCACTCCTGGTAAGAGCACAGGTGGCAAGAGCACAGGTGGCTAGAGCACAGGTGGCAAGAGCACAGGTGGCAAGAGCACAGGTGGCAAGAGCACAGGTGGCAAGAGCACAGGTGGTAAGAGCAGAGGACAACTAGGCGGTGAGTGCTGGCGGAACGAAACCACGAGGTGATGGAGTGGTGTGCGTGGTGGGAAGGCTGGGAGCGTGGGAGGGTGGAGGGATGAGAGGGGTTGACACAGCAGCGAAGCGGCGGGCAGTGGAATGGCTTGTGTAGAAACGGGCCTGCAGAGCGAGCGAGTGAGCGGACAAAGATTAGAGCGACTGAGCGAGCAACACACTGGATGTCTCTCCTGCCGCATGGCACATCTGAGCTCGTGAGGGTGGGGGTGGGAAGGCTGGGAGTGCCTGGGGCGACTGGGAAAGCGGGAAGACGGGTAGGGTGGTTAGGGGAGTTAGGGCTCGGCACAGGAACAGCTGAAGAAGTGCGAGGGTGTGAGACGCGGAGGTATGGAGTGACGCGGAGGTATGGAGTGACGCGGAGGTATGGAGTGATGCGGAGGTATGGACTGACGCGGAGTTATGGAGTGACGCGGAGGTATGGAGTGACGCGAAGGTATGGAGTGACGCGGAGGTATGGAGTGACGCGGAGGTATGGAGTGACGCGGAGGTATGGAGTGACGTGGAGGTATGGAGTGACATAGAGAGGGCGACTTGGCGAATGTGGCATAGTAATCAGGGCAGGGGGGGGGCAAGGGGTGCCAAGGGGGGGGGGAGGGCGGGGCAGGGCAGGGGACATGTGGCGACATGCAGGGGAAGAGGCAGGCACGGCGAGCATGGCAGCAATCGCGGGTCACGGGTGGCAGCACGCTCAAGAGCTGCGCGTGGCGGAGCTGGCGCATGGCGGATCTGCGCATGGCGGAGCTGCGCATGGCGGAGCGCGGATCTCGTTGTTGTCCCTCTGCCGCCATCGCCGAGCTAAGAAACGAGACTGCACACAATGCGAGTCGCATGTTTGCGAGTCGCAGCGAAGAGCAAGGCAGCGCCACGACATGGGCGGGTGGATAATCTCAAGTTGTGTGCTTAGAGATCTTCTGAGGCTTACTGCGCGTGTGCTGTGAACCATCACTTGGGACATATTCTCAGCGAGCAGCAAACTCAGTCAGGCTTAATATGTCCCAAGACCGGGTGGATGATCTCAAGGTGTGCGCTTAGAGATCTTCTTGATGTAAAGGAGTCTCCTCTACTTTGCAGGAAACACTTCTGGGCTTACTGCGCGTGTGCTCTGAGCCATCACTTGGGCTTAATATGTCCCAAGACCGGGTGGATAATCTCAAGGGACTGCGCGTGTGCTCTGAGCCATAACTTGGGCTTAAAGCCCGAGTACAGCATGGTTATTTTCAAGTTCAAGATTCTTGAACTTGAATTCGTAAAAAACAGGGTTACCCTACTTGTTTGTACAAAACTCTCGCGACTCTGGGACAACACTTAACGACACTCTCTCCTCATTGGCTTTTTAGCACAGTCGCAAAACAGAACCGAACGTCGCTCAGGTTGGCCCACCGTTTGGCTCTCACATATCTTGAACACCAAGTCGTACTCGTGATCGGCCTACTTCCTCTCGTAAGTAGACAGCCAGTGCGCCTTCACCTAGTTCTAGGGACCGCGATTTTTACAGCAACTCCCAAGGCACACATGCTGTCTCGCCAATAGCTGGGCAGCACAAGCCTAGTGTCACCCGATATTTACAAACGTTGTCGCGTTACTCACACGGAACGTTTGGTGCAAACGACAGCTTCACCATGCTTAGGCCCTCGTTTAGCGCTCGTCGTCACCCGCGCTCCCCCTCGCCACCCGCGCCCGCCCTCATCACTCGCGCCCGCCCTCGTCACTCGTGCCTGCCCTCGTCACTCGCGTTAACCCTCGTCACTCGCGTTAGCCCTCGTCACTCGCGTTGGCCCTCGTCACTCGCTTGCCTGCGATTCCGTGCTTCCCCTCGTCATGCGTTTCCCTTCGTCGCGCACGTTTCCGCTCGTCGCGCACGCGACTTCTCGTCACGCGCTCTTCCGCTCGATGCGCGCTCTCCTCTCCTTGTCACACGCGTTTCCCCTCGTGACGCGCACTCCTTCCCTCGTCACCAGCTCAATCATTCAGTCGCAATCTATTTTTCTTCGCATCACCTGCTTCCCCCCTCCCTCCTCCCTCCTCCCTGCTTCCCCCCTCCTCCCTGCTTCCCCCCTCCCTGGGCCCTGCTTCCCCCCTCCATCCCCCCTGCTTCGCCCCTCCCTCCGCCCTCCTTCCCCCCTCCTTCTGTCATGCTCCCCTCATCCCTCCGCCCTGCTTCCCCCCTCCCTCCGCCCTGCTTCCCCCCTCCCTCCACCCTGCTTCCCCCCTCCCTCCGCCCTGCTTCCCCCTCCCTATACCCTGCTTCCCCCCTCCCTATGCCCTGCTTCCCCCCTCCCTCCGCCCTGCTTCCCCCCCCCCTTGCGCCCTGCTTCCCCCCTCCCTCCGCCCTGCTTCCCCCTCCCTCCACCCTGCTTCCCCCCTCCATCCCCCCTGCTTCCCCCCTCCCTCCGCCCTGTTTCCCCCCGCCCTCATAGAGGTGAGAGTCACGCACCAGGTGCCTTCTCGTCACGCGCGCTTTCTGCTCGTCGCACGATTTCCTCCCCTCGCCACGCGCGTTCCCTATCGTTAAGCACTATCCTCCCCTCGTCACGCGCGCTTCCCCTCCGCCACTTATCGCCAACCCCTACCCACGTCGCCATCGACACCATCGTGTGTAGCAACTCCCCCATACGCCCTCGCTCCTTCCAGCCACAGCAACTCCTTCCATACTGATGTGAGGGGCAGAGCGGGAGAGACAGAGGGGGAAGGACAGCTGAGGGGGGGATGGTGTCACAGTGAACGAATGATTGATGGGCGGGGAACAGGAAGGGAATGGGCGGGGGAGATGAGAAGGACAGAAGGGGAAGGAGAAGGGGGAGAGGGGGAAGGACAGAGGGGGGGAGACAGAACAGGCGGCGAGGAATAGGGGGGGGGACAGAGGGGGAGAGACAGAGGGGGAAGGACAAATGGGGAGGGACAGAGGGGGAAGGACAAATGGGGAGAGAGAGAGGGGGAAGGACAAATGGGGAGAGACAGAGGGGGAAGGGTCGAGGGGGAGAGACAGAGGGTGAGAGCGGGTACTTCCCTCACTCCCTCTCCCCATCTACCTCACTCCCCCCTAATTGTTTACACCCCTCTTTATTTTGACCATCCTCCCTTTCTCCCACCAGCTCTGTTCACCCCCCAATCTATTCTCCTTTGCCTCACCTGCTTCCCCCCTCCCTCCGCCCTGCTTCGTCCCTCCTTCGGCCATGCTTCCCTGCTTCCCCCATCCCGTTCCTTGCTTCCCCCCATCCTCTTCCCCCCATCCCCTTCCACCATCCCCTTCCCTGCTTTCCCGCATAATTTCCCTCTCCATGCGTCCTTCCACTCCCTGCTTTCATCATGTGCCTCTGCTTGTTGTATCCCCTTGCGGTTGTTCCCTTGCACCTCACACCACCTCCCCCGTGTTTCTTCACAAAATTCTTTCTGCCTACACCACTCCCCTAATTTTCAGTGGTGAAGCAAAGGAACAAGCCGAGGCGTAGCTAGTCGATGCTTTACACCATACCACTGCCTGTTTCTTGTCTGTTGTATGCAAGCATGATATGAGAACACTGTTGGAGATATCCATCCCAGAAGCACAATATGTACTTTGTTTCTGCAGTGCAAGATTTTCTTCCAAGATGCATGGACACGAAGAGTGTCAGAAGGGTACCGTACATAGAGGCATCACCCTACTACTTTTGATTGTACCCTTCTCAAGGCATTGAAAAAAACATGAGGGGAACTGGTTTCTCTACGAGCATGGCATGGGATGATGGGCTGGGGCGAGTTGCAGTACCAGAAAAAGACTTCAGCGTAGTCACTGCAATAGCCAGGGAGAGGGAGGGAATATGGGGAGGGGGAACAAGAAAATAGTCAAACAGGGGAGATAGGGAAGAGGAGGAGGAAGAGGGGGAAGGGAAAGGGGAAGCATGTCAGCTGAGGTGGCAGGAGGAGCACGTAAGGGGTTGGAGGTGAGGGGAAAGGGGAGAGGGAAGATATGGAAATCAGGTAGGCAGGTGGGGGGAGCAGGGAAAAGTGGTTAGGAAGAGACGAGAAACAGAGCAAAGAGGGGGAGAGGAGAAACAGGGGAAGGGCGCGGTCGTCAGAGAGAAAGGAATGAGGAGGGGGAGAGGGGGAGGGGTGAGAAACACATGAGGGGTTGAGACATGCAGCAGTGTACAATCTCCTTTCATACTCCCCACTCCTCTCATACCCCCACTCCTCTCATACTCCTTTGCCTCACCTGCCACTCCCCCCTTCCTCCTCCCTGCTTCCCCCTCCCTCCTTCCTGCTTCCCCCCTCCCTCCTTCTTGCTTCCCCCCTCCCTCCTCCATGCTTCCCTCCTCCCTCCTTCCTGCTTCCCCTCGTCCCCTCCCCCTTTTTCCTCCATCCCCTTCCCTGCTTCCCTCCATCCCCTTCCCTGCTTTCCCCCATCCCCTACCCTGCTTCCCCCCATCCCCTACCCTGCTTCCCCCCATCCCCTTCCCTGCTTCCCCCCATCCCCTTCCCTGCTTCCCCCCCCATCCTCTCCCTCCCCATGTACAATCTCCTTTCATACTCCCCACTCCTCTCATACACCCCACTCCTCTCATACTCCTTTGCCTCACCTGCCACTCCCCCCTTCCTCCTCCCTGCTCCCCCCCTCCCTCCTTCCTGCTTCCCCCCTCCCTCCTTCCTGCTTCCCCCCTCCCTCCTCCATGCTTCCCCCCTCCCTCCTTCCTGCTTCCCCTCTTCCCCTCCCCCTTTTTCCCCCATCCCCTTCCCTGCTTCCCTCCATCCCCTTCCCTGCTTTCCCCCATCCCCTACCCTGCTTCCCCCCATCCCCTTCCCTGCTTCCCCCCATCCCCTTCCCTGCTTCCCCCCATCCCCTTCCCTGCTTCCCCCCCCATCCTCTCCCTCCCCATGTACAATCTCCTTTCATACTCCCCACTCCTCTCATACCCCCCACTCCTCTCATACTCCTTTGCCTCACCTGCCACTCCCCCCTTCCTCCTCCCTGCTCCCCCCCTCCCTCCTTCCTGCTTCCCCCCTCCCTCCTTCCTGCTTCCCCCCTCCCTCCTCCATGCTTCCCCCCTCCCTCCTTCCTGCTTCCCCTCGTCCCCTCCCCCTTTTTCCCCCATCCCCTTCCCTGCTTCCCTCCATCCCCTTCCCTGCTTTCCCCCATCCCCTACCCTGCTTCCCCCCATCCCCTTCCCTGCTTCCCCCCATCCCCTTCCCTGCTGTAGCAGAGAAATGGGCACTCACCTGGGCTATCCTCTGTAGCGATCCGCAGGGGCGTGTGCTGCACCTTGCTCCCCGTCACTCCGCAGTATCCGCTCACGTTGTGCGCGCGGGTGGTTGTAGCCAGGTCACCTGGGAGGGCGCGCTTCTCGTCGCCGGGAACGCGGGCTCCGCGTCGCCTGGAACGCGGGCTCCGCGTCGACTGGATGGCGGGATCAGATCCGCCTGAAATGCGAGATCCGCGTCGCTAGGAATGCGGGCTCCGCGTCGCGAGGAATGCGGGCTCCGCGTCGCACAGAACGCGAGCAGCTAAATGTGGCGAGCGAGTGCTGCTCGGCGCAAGGTGCGCGAGCCGAATCTAGTCCGCTTTCTTCCCCCTGGCTAGTCACAACGACTCCAATACACTCGTCGTTTCTTGTTGTGCCTAGCTACCCGTAGTCTCCAGTCTGTAATCACGACCTTCTTCCCGTTAGTGCAATCGCGCTTGCACGTTCCTACACTTTGCTGTTGCCAGCTCCTGCGATGGTCGTTACCCAAGTAATGTGGGGTAAGGATCGTGTCGAACACGTCTCTGTTGTGGCGATGAGTAGGTGGCGTTGATAACCTGCACGTGCTTTACTTGCTCAGTTTTTATATTTCCCATTAGCATCGAGCTGATTCCCTGGTGAGGTGACTTCGGGTGAGCAACACTTTCCATGTGAGAGAGGATGTGTGCGACACATTTGTCGCTTTGGGTTGGTCGGATTCGCAGGTTTGGTGAGTGCGAAATGTTCACTTGTTTGCGGCGGAAAATTGTTCTCGCCAAGGGCAGCCAACCGAAATAGGCTTCGCAGATCTCGCATACAGCCTATTTCAAATACACATAACTTGATAATTTACCATGCTGACCCCGGGCTTTAATATGTCCCAAGAATGGGTGGATAATCTCAAGGGACTGCGCGTGTGCTCTGAGCCATTACAGCCCCCCTCTTTCCTCTCCCTTCTCCGCCACGTATTGTTGAAGCATGACGCAACGGGGCACGCGGCGGCGGAGTCGCTGCGCGACGTCGAAATGGAATTTTGCTCTCGCGAAATTCCTCTGCGTTCTTGCCTCGTTTCTAAGCCCCCCTGCCCTGCCGCCGAGCGACTTCGGCATTGTGCCACGTCAGCTTGGTAGAGCAAGCCGCGGATCGCGTCATCTTACGTGGTGCCCTTCGGGTGAACTCACCAGGTTGTCAGAGTCACTACGAGACTTGCTGGTCATAGATTCGCGATTGTGGAAGGACAGCTTATCACTGGTGGAAATAAAGAAAACATACGGTAAGGTTCTTTCCAGGCATTCGAGATAACCAGAGTCTGAAGTTGATGCTTGTGGTACTCACAACGGCGAAATCTCATATCGGATCAGATTGAAAATGGGATTCGAGTTTCTTCCAATTTCGTTGAGGGGGATGGAATAAGCTACAGTGGTCAACATTTTTCGAGTCATTGACTGGAATTTCAAGGGCGTTTGACTCGCTGACGGCCTCTGTCCATTGCTTTCAGTTTGAGTCATCGCGCCGCGCAAATAAAATGCCCAGCGTTAGCGACGCGATGAGGGTACAAAAACGCACGCGGCATTTGGCAACTCATTCATTCACTCTTCATCACATTCACTGAGCCTCATTTGGACTTGAAGCTTTCCGATTCTGTAGCTGCTTCCGTGTCTTCACTACCAAGCTCCTAGGAAGCTAGATTGCTCCTGTACAGCTAGATTTGGTTTTCCGTGGAGATATTAGCTGCATCCTAGGCATTGCACAAGCACAATGGCGCAGAGAGTCTCATTTTCGTCGAGCCAGCGTCGTCGCCGTGACCTGAGCGCGGCCCTTCTCCTCCTCTCACTTGTTCTTGTTTCATCTCTCCACGCGGCGTTGGCCTATCGCTTCTCCGCAGGGCTCCGCGCGGACAAGCTGCGGGGGGTGATGCGTGGATGGGCGCGAGGCGGAAGCTCGACCGGCCAGCAGCAGCAGCAGCAGCAGAGCGGCGGAATCAGTGGAAGCGGAATGGGCGGCGGCGGAATGGGTGGCGGCGGAATGGATGGCGGCGGAATGAGCGGCGGCGGCATGAGCGGCGGCGGAATGGGTGGCGGCGGAATGGGTGGCGGCGGAATGGGCGGAACCAGCATGGGTGGCGGCGGAATGAGTAGCGGTGGAATGGGTGGCGGTGGAATGGGTGGCGGTGGAATGGGCGGTGGCGAAATGGGCGGCGGCGGAATGGGCGGGCGGCGGGATGGGCGGAGGCGGAATGGGCGGCGGCGGAATGGGCGGCGGCGGAATGGGCGGAGGCGGAATGGGCGGCGGCGGAATGGGCGGCGGCGGCACTGGTGGCGGCGGAATGGGCGGCGGCGGAATGGGTGGCGGCGGAATGGGCGGCGGCGGAATGGGCGGGGGCCGAACGGGCGGCGGCGGGATGGGCGGTGGTGGAATGGGAGGGCGGCGGCATTGGTGGCGGCGGAATGCGAGGCGGCGGAATGGGCGGCGGCGGAATGGGCGGCGGCGGAATGGGCGGTGGCGGAATGGGAGGGGGCATGGACGGACCTGGTTCCTCTGCTCCAGGTTCGCAATCAGCCATGGGTCCTGGGGGAAACATGGGTGACGGCGGAATGGGCGGCGACGGAATGGGTAGTGGCGGAATGGGCGGAGGCGGCATGGGTGGCGGCGGAATGAGCGGCGGCGGAATGAGTGGCGGCGGAATGGGGCGGCAGCAGCATGGGTGGCGGTGGACTGGGCGGCGGCGGAATGGGCGGCAGCGGAATGGGCAGCGGCGGAATGGGCGGCGGCAGAATGGGCGGTGGCGGAATGGGTGGCGGCGGAATGGGCGGCGGCGGAATGGGCGGCGGCATGGGCGGACCTGGGTCGTCTGCTCCTGGATCACAAGGAGCCATGGGTCCTGGGGGAAACATGGGCGGCGGCGGCATGGGTGGCGGCGGAATGGGCGGAGGCGGAATGGGCGGTGGCGGAATGGGAGGAGGCGGAATGGGCGACGGAGGCATGGGCGGTGGAGGAATGGGCGGGTCAGGGTGGTTTGCTCCAGGGTCGCAGGCAGCACCCGGCCAGGGTGGACCTGGGATGGGCGGAGGGATGGGCGGAGGGATGGGCGGAGGGATGGGGGGAGGAATGGGCGGAGGGATGGGGGGAGGGATGGGCGGAGGGATGGGCGGAGGGATGGGCGGAGGGATGGGCGGAGGGATGGGTGGAGGGATGGGCGGACCGTATTAGTCTTCTCCCAGAACAGTGGAAGGTTCACAATGGCACACCCTGACCAGTGTTCGCTAGGAGCATGGCCGCCGCAGCACTTCCAACGGAGCACCGCCAGCAGTGCTGCTTCGTCCAAGCTCCTCCCGATCGCCGGGTTCATCTAGCCATCCCACGCACAGAGCTGCTCATCCCAGCGCTGCTCATCCCAGCACTGCTCATCCCATGCATCGTAGATATCCAACGTTTAGCTCTGTCGTTGAGGTCTGTCATTATCGGCAAAAACCGTTTGTCGTTCCAAGCATCCAGGATTAAGCAGCAGTAATTGTTGCATAGACTTCACTCCTATCCCATTCTATTCTTGCTATTGTTGTCATGGTTATTGTATCGTTGTTATAGTGTGCCAAGAGTCGACTCAAAAGTCAACTTGGTTATTGTATTGTTGTAATACTGTGCCAGGAGCTTGCTTACATCTTCCTTGAACTGCTTGGACCAGGGTCAACTTAAGAACTAGTTAGGGCTGTCACTGCTGCTCAACGACCAGTCAGGTCTGTCGGATGCCGTACTGCGATCCATCCCCATGCCCACCCTGCTGGTAGGCGGACTTGTCAACAATGGCCTTATTGTAGGAGGGAGTGGCATTAGTGTGGTCCGGTTTTGAGAGCTTGCACAGCTGAGGGTGGTAGGGCTGGGATGGGGAGTGGACCAATCCACATTGCACCTTTCCTTGTCTTGTGTGGAGAGAAGTTGCAACCTGGAGATTAGGTGGCATAGGAATGTTGTCTGACACACCATCTCCTGCGCCACCAGGTGAAATTCATCTGCCAAAGGAGTGATTCAGAGTGCTGGTAAGAGCGAGAAACGAACTTCCGAGCAAGCAGAGAGACCCGAGTGGCTGAAGTGCATTGACTTCCTTTGCAGCCAGGGGGGCTTATAATTTCATTGCAATGATCACTTCCCTGCCTCCATCCATACCTCCATCCATACCTCCATCCATACCTCCATCCATGCCTCCATCCATGCCTCCATCCATGCCTCCATCAATGCCTCCATCCATGCCTCCATCTATGCCTCCATCAATGCCTCCATCCATGCCTCCATCTATGCCTCCATTCATGCCTCCATCCATGCCTCCATCCATGCCTCCATCCATGCCTCCATCCATGCCTCCATCCATGCCTCCATCCATGCCTCCATCCATGACTCCATCCATGCCTCCATCCATGCCTCCATCCATGCCTCCATCCATGCCTCCACCCTTCCATGCCATAATGCCTCCCCTCAACATCCCACCAGGTGGCATCACATCATCAAAGGGCAGGGTGCTACCAGCAGTGGCTGAAACAGGTCGGTTGCTCGCCCTGCTGCCGCACAGCAAGTGACTCATCCTGCCCACCAAGTATGCGGCTCTTGCTTCCAGGTAACCATCTCCATGATTCGAGTAAAAAGGGTAACCCTCCTCCCCAGGTACCCCCCCCCACACCAGGTAACCCTTCCCACCAGGTAACTCTCCCCACCAGGTGAAGAGGCGAGGGGAAGGGCGGAGGAGGGTAGCTGAAGGGGAGGGAGCCGGAGCGGCTGCATGAGGACGTTGGGAGAAGCATGGACATGTGGCGGGTAGGTGGGAGGGGGGTGGGTGGAAGGGTTGTGGAAGGAAGGGGCTGTGTGGAAAGGGGAAGGGAGGTGGAAAGAAATGGGAAGGGAAAAGTGTTGATACGCCAAATACATGTGCCAAAGTTACATTCTTGCTGAACCCATACCCCTCTCCGTGCTCACCACCCGCTCGACTGGCCCTCCCGCTCTTCAATATCTCACTTCCATGGCTGCTAACAAGTCACACCGCTCGAACAACCCTCCCATTGCATGCCCTTTGCTGCTCCAGGCGCTGGTATCACCGCTGGTGGTGGGCGAGGGCGTCCCAGCTTCCAAGACATGAGGGGATCTAAGTTTCGTTGTCTCGCACATCCCAGCTTCTGGCTGCAAGAATCTCTGAGAGAGCTTCTGAAAAGGTGGGTCCAGATGCTGTCAGGTGCACTACGGTGCAGTGAGGTGCTGATTCAATCTCTATCTTCCTCATCCTAGCTTCAGCTTCTGGAAAGGTGGGCTCAGGTTCTGTCATGTGCTGTTAGATGATATCAGGTGCTGTCAGGTGCTGTCAGGTGCTGTCAGGTGCTCGAAGGTACTGCTTCAAGTGCCGCAGCCATCTGTAGTCAGTCTTATGGAAGGTGGGTTTCCATGGAGGACCAGGTGCTGGGCCAGGTGCTGGGTTAGGTGTTGGGTCAGGTGCTGGGCCAGGTCAAGTAAACGGGAAGGTTATCTGAGGTTGTTCTGTAGTAAACAGGAAAAGGGAGCACAGAAGCATGACGGTAATTGGTCCCTCGGTATAAGACTGGTAAAGTGTGATGCGGTGATTTGAGGTGAAACGAGGTGAGACGTGGTGAGCAGGACGGGCAGTTCAGATGGTTGCTCCTCATTATCCACATGCGCCCCCATCCGTCCCACCATGCCATCTCATCCCACCCATCCCCATCTCATCCCACCCATCTCCATGCCATCCTCACCCTTGCAGCTTCGGCCAAGTCAAGCCATCGCCTCGTGCTGTATACGAGCTTCTCACTGTAAGTTGCTACCTTTCGTGGTGTGCAATGTGCGCTTGAGGACCCTCACTTGTAAGTTGTTGCCTTTCACAGTGTGCTCAATATGACTCAACCCCCTGACTGATATGTACGCCCTCACAGTGTGCTTTATACGATCTTCTCACTGTAACCTGTTACCTTTCATGGTGGGCCACTGAGGAGCCTCACTTCCCTGTGGCAACCGTTCCCAGCACCATCTTCCCCAGGTGAGTGAGATGCTGTGAAGTGTGGTCGGAAGATGTGAGATGTGGTTAGATGGGGTGGGATGGGATGGGTGGGCGACTTTTCTGGCGCCTCAGAGTCATGTACGAGTCGCTCAACCTGGATCCCACCCCTGACATCAGCCCCGTCACAACCGTTCTTGGCACCAGCCTCCCCAGGTTGGATGCAGTGGGGTGCGTTGCAGTGGGATTCAGTGGGATGGCTGTCCTCCCCTCTGTAAGCCCTTCCGCTCCTTGTACGAGTCGCCCTGCCTTCACCCTACCACGGATTTCAGTCCTGTCACAGTTGCTCCCGGCAGCAGCCTCCCCAGGTGAGATGCGGTGGGGTGGGGTGGGGTGGGTTTTCATACGGTAAGATGGCATGGGATGGGGTGGAATGGAATGGAATGGGATGGAATGCGATGAGAAGAAATAGCATGGAATAAGATCCCATGGCATGAACTTGCTCTGTTCTGAACCTTTCTCCTCCCCCATCTCCCCCCAACCCCACCAGCCTAATTCCGCTTCCCAATCGCCTGAAGAGAGTGTCTTTTCATCTCAACACGCCCATGGACTTCAAGGACCTGTGGCCTGAATTCTTACGACATTGAATCTGGTTGGGCGAAGCCACAGGTTCAGACATTCGATTCGTGGTGAGATCCAACACTTGGTGCAAATGGCTTTGCTGATTAGTATTATTGGTTTAGAGTCTTCTGCAAACTTGGAGCGATGATGCGTGAGGACGAACACTCTGACTCTGCATGGCATGAGATACGATGAATGGCATGATTTAGCATGGAGGGCATGATCTAGGCCTAGGAGCACGAGATAATATGGGAGGCAGGAGAGATGATGGTTGGCGTGAGATAGGATCAATGGGATGAGTTGACATGGATTACACCAGCTAGCATGGATGGATGGCACTGGTAGGGCTGAATGCCACAAAAATTTATGAATGCCACAAAAATCTTGCACTTTATCCAACGAATTTGATCCTCCCTTCCCTCTTCGTGTTCCTCTTTTTCATAGACTTGTTCACATATTTCTGTCGTTCATAAGATTTGTGTGAACTGAGAAGTCTCAAATGCACAACTTTCCATTGCTGCTTCTCCTCTTATTGTCAGAACATTATAGCTTATACATTTGTGTAGGCTGTAGTGGGGTAGCCCATATGGGGTACAACCCAATTAGGGTTAGTACTTGTACCCAACTCTTTCATAGTTCATTCATCCATTCTCACTTCTCGTCATGGTATCGAGCAGGTTCCCGAGTGGGAATACTGCCTAGGGCCCACCCACGATTTTTTTTTTGTTTTTTTTTTTTGTTTTTTGTTTTTTTTTTTTGTTTTTTGTTTTTTTTTTTTTCCTTCCTTGTCCAGAGCGCGCTTCACTCCCTGCCACGAGTAGCGCCCCCGAGTCGCCTTAGTGGCCCCTTCTTGGCCGCCCTTACTACTCCTCGAGCCGCCCCACCGTCGGCCCCGCTTAGCCCACCGTCGGCCCCGCTTAGGCCCCGTTGGCCCGCTACAGCCCCGCTACGGCCCCGATTGGCCGCGCTTAGGCCCCGTCGGCCCCGTTGCGGCCCCGCTTAGGCTCCGTTGGCCCCACTTCGGCCCCATTGCGGCCCCGCTACAGCCCCGCTACGGCCCCCGTCAGCCCGCTTGTCGAAAGAAATAGGAAGGGCCTAGGCTTAGGAGCCTAGGCCCGAACTTAGGTATCGAACGGGTTTTCCACCTAGGGTGAGTGTCGAGTGAGTTGAGAGAGGAGAAAGGAGAATGTGTGGCTTCACTATAGTTTCGAAGTACATATAGCAAAGGAAACACATAAGGTGCACCACCAAACAAAGTTTAAATATCTACACTAACTACAGCTACAGGCAGTTACAAATATACTATATTGTGACACTCCCCCATAACTGGCTGCAGCAGGAGTATGTGTAGAATACAACCTGCAGGTGTATACATGCAAAATAAATAGCAAGCAACAGCAGGTAATGCAGGCGGGCTGACACTAAGTGGTCACCCCCTCCATCTCCTCACCCTCCTCCTTCCCCTCCCCCACACTGCTGCAGGAGCAGCAGAGAAGGGGGGGGAAGAGAGGAGAGGTGGAGGGACGGCTGCATGTTGCCTCACACCCGCCACCCCGGTACCACTCCCCCTGCTCCCCCACATCCTCACACCCTCCCCCCCCAGCGGCAGCTGCAGCGGTGGGACTGAAAGAAGGAGGAGGGGAAGGGAGAGAGGTGACGCCACACTCCAACACCCTCCACCCCCATACCCTCCTCCCCGCGGCTGCAGGGAGACAAAGGAGGAGGGGGGTGGGAAGGAAGAAAGCCGCAGAGCGGCGAAAAGGTGTCGGTGCAGTGGTGTCAGGGGCGGCTTCAGGGAGTGCAGGGGCGGAAAGGCCCGTCGCGGGCCAGTGCCACGGGGCGCACGACGGGTAGAATAAAAGGGCCCGATTGTGTGCCTCGGGGCGCACGACGAGCAGGGCACCATCGTGTGCCACGGGGCGCACGATGGGCAGACGAAGGGCACCGTCGCGTGCCACGGGGCGCGCGACGGGCAGGGAAGGAGTCACTCGCCCGTGGGCGGGACAAGGTAAAAATAAAATCGTCACGCGCCCTAGGCGCGCGACCGGAAAACCTTAGCAGCGGAAGTGTAAAGTGGGCCCACAGGCCAGGACGAACCTAGCTCCGATAACATGTCGAAAGAAATAGGAAGGGCCTAGGCTTAGGAGCCTAGGCCCGAACTTGGGTATCGAACGGGTTTTCAACTAGGGTGAGTGTCGAGTGAGTTGAGAGAGGAGAAAAGGAGAATGTGTGGCTTCACTATAGTTTCGAAGTACATATAGCAAAGGAAACACATAAGGTGCACCACCAAACAAAGTTTAAATATCTACACTAACTACAGCTACAGGCAGTTACAAATATATAT